AATTATTTTGATAATTAATAAAAATTTCACAAGAATTCAATTTCTTACAAATTTTTTATAAATTTATTTTCAACAATTCCATTATTTTTATAAATAATAAAATTTTTTACAGAGATTCAATTATAATTTCAGATATAATAAAATTCTTTTTAGGAATTCAATTATTTTCATAAATAATAAAACTCATTACAAAATTTCAATTATTTTTAATAAAATTTTAATCGAATTCCTCGAAAGAATTGCAATAATTTACTTATTTTCATAAGTAATAAAATTCTTCGCAGGATTTCAATTATTAAAAACTAGTTGATAAAATAAAATTCTTTGTGAGAATTTAATTTTAAGAAATATAAAATTATTCAATAAATTGTTTTTTTTGTATATTAATAATTGAATTCTTGTAGAATTTTGTAATAAAAATTGATTTAAAAATGGATTTCAGTTAAAATTTTAGAGAATAATTGAATATTAAAAACATTACAGCGTGAATTTTTAGAAATAATTGAATTTTAAGAAGGTTTCAAATTAAAATTTTTGGAAATCTGAATTTTTCATATTTTTAATTAACAATTCTGTAGATTTAGTTTTTTTGAAAAAGTTTAATTGATTTTTAAAAAAATTTGTTTGAAGTTCTTATTATCTAATTTATATTTAATTGAAGAATTTCCAAATAATCGATGAAATTTCGTAAAATTGAATTATAAACAAATGGATTTGAAAACTCGCAAAAAAAATTTTCAAAAATTATTAAAATAATTGATTTAAAGAAGAAGTTAAACATAATTGAAATTTAATATTATAATAAAAATTGCAATTAAGTAAAATGAATTATAATTCGAATTGACATTAATTTAAATTAACAAAAATTGCTTAATATTGTATAATTAATATACAATAATTAATTAATTTTAATTAATTTATTTATTTGTATTATTAACAGTTTTACTTAATTAACTATAGACAAGAAATAAAAATAAAAATAAAAATTTATTCGTCTTTAAAATTAATCGAAAGTAACATTAATTGAACTCAATTGTAATTAATGGTGATTAATTAAAATAACCACTAATTGAAAGTACAATCAGTTGAAGCTACTATTAATTAAAATCTACATTAATCGAAGTCATCAATTCTTGGAATTACAATTATTTATAATTGCTGCTACTATATTGAAACGTTCGTAAATTGACTCTGTCAATCTTATTAGAATTTCGAATTATTGAAGATATCGTCATCAAACATATATATAATATGAATTTTCGATAATTTGGAAATCAAATTCATTACTAAATAAAGTTACCAGAAAATAGTATTCAAAACCGTTTCAAAAAAAAAAAATTTATTGACAATTGAACTTTGTATTTCACTACCTAATTATATAAATTTTTTAATTACCGTTAATTGAAAATGCACCGATGTAAGTTAATATTATTATTTCTTGATTAATCAGTTTTTTATTAATTTTCATTAATTAATTAAAATCAATTAAATTCATTATATTCATTAAATTCATTAAATTAATTGAACTAATTGAATTAATTAAAAATAACGTTAATTAAATAAATATAAAAAATTAATTGAAACTTATTTCACTTTTAATTCTTTTAATCAATTTGTTTAAAAATTAAATGATTATTTTTAATCTAAAGAAAATAAATAAATTATTAGAAATTATATAAATAAAAATTTTTAATTTTTAATTTTTAAAAATTTGTTTTTGAAATGAAAATTAATTGAAGTCGTTTAATTTGAATTACATTAAATTAAATTAAGCATATACGTTTTGAGAGAAAAAAAGGAAACGGTTTTAAATTATTATTACTATTATTAATATTTATATATGAAATATTAAAATTGACATTATCAGTATTATAAATTATGCTTGGGCGTCGAGCATCTCTTAGAGTCAAGATTCTCTTTGCACGCCTCAACTGTCAAAGAAGAATGAGGTCCTTGAGATCCTCCGGATAGTGTGAATGACTTTTTGCCCAACTCACTTCATTATATTTAAATTAACTCGTGTGTATATGAATAGGAAGAAGATGCTTTCTTAAAGTTTAACCGAAAGCAATGACCGATAATTTATTCTATTTGGAAATTTTTTTTTATTCTCTTCTCAATATAATGTTATTCTGAAATTTTTCTCAAACTTTTTTTTTCTTTTTGAAACAATACATAATATTTTAAACATTATCATTTCTAAAAGTCAATTTTTCGAAAAAGTTTACGAAAAATTCTACTTTCTTAATTTTTTAAAAATATTCTTTCAATAATTTTTATTTATTTTCTTTAGATAAAAATAATATTTTTATATAATTTAACATTTTTTTTAAATATTTAACATTTCTACTGTATTTATTTTTTATACGAATTGGAATTAAATAATTTTATTAAAATTATTTATGAAAAATTGAATTCTTTATATGAACAATTATATTAGAGTTTTCGTAAATATAATTAAATTCTTTTGAAGAATTTCTTTAAGTTTTTTGAAAATAATGTATTTCTTTTTAATAACTGGAAAATTTGAGAATAATTGTATTTTGTAAAGAATTTCTTTAAAGTTATTTATTTATTAACATCTTTTGGAAAAAATTGAATTCTTTCCACATTTTTATCACAATTTTTGAAAATAATAAAATTCTTGAGACAAAATTTTATTAAAATAATTGTACTAAAAATAATTAAATTCATGCGACGAAATTTCCTTTCTTTAATTATTGAATTCTTATATTCTTATAAAACTTTATAAAAAATTATCAGAATAATTGAAATTTGTTGGAAAAATTTATTTGAATTTTTAAAAATAATTAAATCCTTTTAAAGAATTTTATGAAAAATAATTGAATTCTTGTCAAGAATTTCATTAGAAAATTTTAGAAATAATATTGAATCCTTTCCTGAAATATTATTAAATTTTTTGAGAATAATTGAATTCAATCGAAAAATTTTGTTAAATTTTCATTAAAAATAATTGAATTGCTCTGAAGAATTTCATTATTTATGAAAATAATTGAATCCTTTCGAAAAAAATTTATCAAAATTGTGTTGAAAATAATTTAATTGTATCGAAGAATTGAAAATTTTTTTTAAATAATTGACTTCTTGTGACGAATTTTGCAAAGATTCCTAAAAATAATTGAATTGTATCATAGAATTTTATTGAAATTTTTATAAATAATTTTGAAAGATTTTATTTAAATTGTATAAAAAACAATTTAATCTTTTTGAAGAATTGTATTAAAATTTTCGCAAATAATTGAAATATTAAAAAAATGTTGATAAAATTATACTGAAAATAATTGACTTGCTGCAAAGAATTTTATTTCAAAAAAGTAATTGAATTTTTGCGAAGAATTTCATTACAAAATTTTAGAAATAATTGAATTCTTGTGAAGAATTTTATTAAAAATTTGAAAATAATTGAATTCTTTCGAAAAATTTTATTAAATTTGTATTAAAAGTGATAGAATTGCTCCGAAGAATTTTATTATTTATGAAAATAATTGGATTGTTTCAAAGAATTTTATTAATATTTTAGAAAATAATTAAATTGCTTCGAAGAATTCTATATTATTTATAAAAATAATTGAATTCTTGTGAAGAATTTTATGTCAAACTTTAGAAAATAATTGAATTGTTGCGAAGAAATTTATTTATAAAAATAATTAAATTCTTGTGAAGAATTTTATTTCAAACTTTAGAAAATAATTAAATTGTTGAGAACAATTTTATTTATAAAAATAATTGAATTGTTTCGAAGGTATTTTTAAAAAATTTTCTAAATAATTGAATTCCTTCCCGAAATTTTCTTAAAAATTTTTAAAAATTGAATTATTTCTTAGAATTTGATTAAAATTAAATTAAAAATATTGGAAATTCTGCGATGAGTTTTATTATTTATGAAAATAATTGAGTTCCTGTGAAATTTTTATTATTTATAAAAATAATTGAATTCTTGTGACTAATTTTATTAAAATTTTCGAAAATAATTGAATTATTTCAAAGAATTTTATTAATATTTTAGAAAATAATTAATTTGCTCAGAAGAATTTTTTAATTTATGAAAATAATTGAATTCTTCTGAAAAATTTTATTAAAAATTTAAAAATAATAGTTTTTTAGTAAAAATTTTTAATTAAACTTGTATTAAAACTGATAGAATTGCTCCGAAGAATTTTATTAAATTTTTTAAAAATAATTGAATTATTACAAAGAATTTTATTAAAGTTTAGAAAATAATTGAATTGCTCTGAAGAATTCTATTATTTATGAAATTAATTGAATTCTTGTGAAGAATTATATTTTAAACTTTAGAAAATAATTGAATTCTTGCTGAGAATTTTATTAAAACTTTTTGAAAATAATTGAATGCTTTCGTCGAATTTTAATAAAATTTTCAAGAATAAATGCTTGAGTTTTATTATTTATGAATATAATTGAATTCCTAAAAAGAATGTTATTATTTACGTAAATAATTGAATTCGTGTAAAAATTTTGTTATTTATGAAAATAATTGACTGATTGCGAAGAAATTTATAAACAATTTGTAAATAATTGAATTCCTGTGAATTTTTTATTATTTATAAAAATAATTGAACTCTTGTGAATAATTTTATTAAAATTTTTAAAAATAATTGAATTATTTCAAAGAATTTTATTAATATTTTAGAAAATAATTGAATTGCTCAGAAGATTTTATAAAGTAATAATAATAATAATAATTGATTCTGTAGCAAGCACTTAATTAATTATGAAAGTCAAAAAGAAGGAAATCGACAAAATGAATGAAAAATGAAATAAAAACATTTAAAAGAATAATTATTCAAATAATAATCTTATAATATTAATAATTTTATTTAATTACTCCTTAACAATATTTGAATTTACCGCCATTTTCATAAAATATTTCTCAGTCGGTATTAAGCGCCGCATGGTAACTGAATTTACTTCTAATAGAAACACATTATTCCGCTACAGATGGCGTTAGAGTACAAGAACATCCGCAGAATCAAAAAAGACAGCTGTGGTGTAACATCACACATCGATTTGGCGACCCTTCGTGATTAAAAAAAAATTTTGTGTTCAAAAACCATCTATCCATTTGCTGGCACTGGGATTTTCTCATATAGAGAAACAACTTCAAGTTTAATTATTCATATGAACAGGCAAAACAAACAGTGTTGAGGATAAATGAACACATAAAACAGTGATGAAAAAAGTGATTTAAATGTTGCTGCAGTGCCATAAATTTACTAGTTCGTTATGCGGTGTTACTGACAACAGCCCTTGTCAACCCCCATTTCCTGCATTTCACATCGAGAGAGGAATCTTTGTCGTTGACATAGATTTATATTGAGGTTAGTCCTTTACATACTTTTTGCAGAATATATCTAATTTTACACATTTTCTTTCTTTGATTATAGAGAGGGGGGGGGGAGGGGTTAGAGGGAGAATTATAAATATGTACATTATAGAACTATATATGGGCATGTGTATACCTATATACTTTTATAGAGAAAAATCCAATCAGGCACAGCAGGGTTCATCACCCTCTGCGACGATAACAATATATACGTGTATTATACATATATTTCTAGGAGTTATACACTTTTCTATGTCTACAGGGCTCGAAGTAGGTCCGTAAATCCTGAAAAAGTCCGTAACTTTGCTTCAAGTCCCTTTAAAAGTCCGTTTTTTTGAAAAAAAAGTCCGTAATTTCATTCGAAAAGAATGAAAAGTTCGTAAATTGTATAATATAATTTTGAGAATTTTAGAGAAATTACAAATGGTTGCAGAAAGTCAATTATTTTTAAAAGTAATAAAATTCTTTGCAAAAATTTAATTATATTCAAAAATTTTTTTTAAAGTCTCGTCAAAATTTCATTTATCTTTAGAAATATTAAAATTCTTCCCCGAAATTCAATTACATATTTTCAAAAAAATCTATAAAAAATGTTCAACATCTCAATTATCTTTATAAATAAATAGCAAAATTCTTCGACAAAATTCAATTATTTTCAAAAATTTTAATAAAATTCATTAAAAAATTTCAATTATATTTTCATAATTAACAATATTTATCACACGAATTCAATTATTTTCGTAAATAATAAAATTCTTTTGAGTGAATTCAATTATTTTCAATAGAATTTTAATGGAATTCCTCGAAATAATTCTTAAAAATTTTATTAAAATTCGTCCAAAGAATTTAATTATTTAAAAATTTGTTGATAAAATTTTTAATAGGAATTGAATTCCAAGAAACATTCAATTATTCAATAAATTTTTAATTTTTGTATTTAAATAATTGAATTCTGGTAGAATTTTCTCATAAACATTGATTTAAAAATAAATTTCAGTTAAAATCTTAGATTACAATAATTGAATTCTTTTCGAAGAATTTCATTAAAATTTTAAAAATAATTGAATTTTATTGAGACACTTTTTTTTAAAATTGTCTTAAAAATAACTGAATTTCTACCAAAAAAAGTTTTATCAAAACTTTTTAAAATGTTTGAATTTCTGCTAAAATTCTGATATTTTTGAAAATAATTGAATTCTTGCGAAGAATTTTATTAAGACTTTTGAAAAATACTTGAATCTCTGCAAAGATTTTTATTATTTTACGAAAATATTTAAATTCTTGCAAAAAATTTTATTAAAATTTCTGAAAGTAATTGAAGATCTGCTAAGAATTTTGTTATGTTTAATTTATGCAAAGAATTTTATTAAAATTTTTAAAAATAATTGAATTCCTGCTAGTCTTTTACAAGAATTTAAATATTTTTGAAAATTTTGATAAAATTCTTCGCAAGAATTCAATTATTTTCGTAAATAATAAAATTAAATGTAGAATTTCAATTATTTTTAATACAATTTTAATCGAATTTCTCGAAAAATGTAATTATTCTTAAAAATTTCGTTAAAATTCGTCAAAAGAATTCAATTATTTAAAAATTTGTTGATAAAATTTTTTATGGGAATTTAATTCCAAGAAACATTGAATTATTCAATATAAATTATTATTTTTTGTATTTAAATAATTGAATTCTGGTAGAATTTTCTCATAAACATTGATTTAAAAATATATTTCAGTTAAAATCTTAGATTATAATAATTGAATTCTTTTCGAAGAATTTCATTAAAATTTTAAAAATAATTCAATTTTATTGAGACATTTTTTTTTTAAATTGTCTTAAAAATAATTGAATTTCTAACCAAAAAAAGTTTTATGAAAACTTTTTAAAATGTTTGAACTTTTGCTAAAATTTTGATATTTTTGAAAATAATTGAATTCTTGCGAAGAATTTTATTAAGACTTTTGGAAAATACTTGAATCTCTGCAAAGGTTTTTATTATTTTACGAAAATATTTAAATTCTTGCGAAGAATTTTATTAAAATTTCTGAAAATAATAATTGAAGATCTGCTAAGAATTTTGTTATTTTTAATTTATGGCAAGAATTTTTAAAAATAATTGAATTCCTGTTAATTTTTTACAAGAATTTAATTATTTTTGAAAATTTTGATAAAATTCTTCGCAAGAATTTAATTATTTTCGTAAATAATAAAATTAAATGTAGAATTTCAATTATTTTTAATACAATTTTAATCGAATTTCTCGAAAAATGTAATTATTCTTAAAAATTTTATTAAAATTCGTTGATAGAATTCAATTATTTGAAAATCTTGTTGATAACGATTTTTTATGGGAATTGAATTTTAAGAAACGTTCAATTATTCAATAAATTATTTACTTTTTATTTTAATAATTGAATTCTAGTAGAATATTCTAATAAAAATTGATTTTTATTTCATAAAAATGAATTTCAGTTAAAATTTTAAATAATAATTGAATATTAAAAGCAATATAGCGTGAATTTTAGAAAATAATTTTGAATTTTGTAATTAATTTTTTTGAAAAAGTTTAATTGAGTTTTTTTAATATTATTTTTAGTTCTATTTTCTAATATTTATTTAATTAAAGAATTTACGAATAATTGAAATTTCGTAAAATTGAATATTGCGTAAAGAAATGAATTTAAAAATTGTCAAAGAACTTTTTCGTAAATTATTAAAAATAATCGATATAAAGAAGAATTTTAGATAAAAATTCTTAAAAATATTAATTGAATTGATAATGATTTTAATTATTATAAATTATTTTTATTAATAATTATTATTAATTATAATAAAACATGAAGAAATCGACGACTTCGAGTCGAAGACTCGGAGTTATCGATTTCTTCATGTTTTATAGTTATGAAAAATTGAATTTCTACAGGGTTGCCACGGACCTGGAAAACCTGAAAAACCTGGAATTGTCAGGGAATTTTATAAAGCCTGATACTAAAAACTCAATTTTTTTGTATTTGAGTCTTAAAAATTTCAAGTTTTCAAGTTGACATTGTATAACTTTTTGATTTTAAATTTAGTGCTTAAAATTGAAGTCAATATGACATTTCTAAATTTTAGTTTCTTTTAGTCAATATCTTCCTTTAAAAAATTTAAAAATTAATACATTTTAGAAACCCAAAAATGTTATGAAACTGAAGTTACCAACTTTTATGCAATGAAAATTTTTTCTTTTGCTAATTTTTGTTTTTTAATGTAAGAAGCCCTTTAAAAAATTCCAAGTGCATCCATATTAAGAAATAAAAAATTAGCAATAAAAAAAATTGCTTTTCTGAAGCGAGGAAAATTTAGTTGAAATTTCGGGATATTTGGAAAATCCACGACAAAAAAATTAAAAATCACTGATTTCCTTGCCTTAGATCCTCTTACAATTTTTTTTAAATGACTTCTCACATTGAAATAAATAACTAGTAAAAGAAAAAATTGCTTATGAACTGAGGAAATAATAATTTTGTTAAAATATATGGATTTTTGGAAAATCCGTGTACAAAATAAAAATGACTGATTTCCCCGACTTCGATCTTTTGAAATTTTTTAAAGGGGTTCTAACATTAAAGTAAATAATTATCAAAAGAAAAAATTGTCATTTAATAAACGTAGATAACTGTAGTTTCATAAAATGTTATTAAAATGTTTAAAATACTTGTTTAATTGTGAAAAATTCTGAACTAAACTAAATTTTTTAATTTAAAAAGATTTGCTTCTCACCTTTCTTCGGAGCGTATATCAAAAAATAATCTCACAAATTTTAAAATAAATTTTTGTTATTAATAAAATTAAAAATTAATAACTTATTTTATTAACAATTTACTTGAAGGATTTTATATATTTTTTGTCGTTATTAGCTAAAAACATATTAAAAAAATTTTATTTTTGGGTCTGGAATTTTTTAAAAAATGGTCTGGAAAACCTGGAAAAGTCATGAAATTTTAAAATCGATGTTTTGTGGCAACCCTGATATATGTTTATATGTCATTTTTTTTTTCATCACTCTTCACTATAATGTATAGGTTAGAATATGAAAATTTTCGTTGCTTATATATTACCTATGGCCAAGGGAGGAAAAAAGAATTTATTCAACAATATACTCTCCTGATTATTATTCCATGAAAGGAATTATTATTTTCGGTATAAAGGATATAATAGTAGGCTGTTAAATTTTCATGAGGCTTAAAATACTGACCTCAGGCCTCAAGTGTTGGTTTTCTCAAACCCGCATTAATTGAGTTTTACGTTTTATATGCCGTGCTTAACAAAAGACTTAAAAATGTATTGAGAAAAGAATTGTGTTGCCAAGTTGAATTCAAGTGTGCTGCATATTAAAAAAAAGAGATGAAAAATTGAGAGATAGAGAGAGAGAGAGAGAGACTAGTAATTTAAATATAAGTATCCGGTTCATTGTCTTCATTTATTCTATTTTATATATAAAATTTATAACAGTTTCTGTGTTTTTAAAAAGTTGACCTATAATTAAATTTTTCTTATTGCAACGTATATTGGAAGAAATTTATTTATAAAAAAATGTAAATTTTTAATTCTTATTATTCTTCGTTTTCTATTGATTTAAAATTATATTATCTAATACTGAACTAATATTATATTAATATTTATAAATATATTTCTATTTATTATACTAATATATTATTATATATTATTATATTATCATTATTATCTGTTTGCAGTTTGAAGGTAGCTGCTGTTTGCTTTTTTGATTCCTAATTTTTAAAATAATTTTTCTTTTTTTGTGTTTTCAATTTTAAAATTAATGTACTGAAAATCATTGAATTCTGGCAAAGTATTTATCAAAAAATTTGAAAATAATTGAATTTCTTCGAAAAATTTTATTATTTATGAAAATAATTCAATTCTTTCGATAAAATGTTATTGAAATTGTATTAAAAATAATTTAATTCTTGGCAAGGTTTTTATTAAAATTCTTTAAA